ACCATGAAGTATCTAAATGGTGTTAGTTGGATAGGTCCACAATATCCCCTTGAATCATCTGAAGAAACTTAGAGGGGTCGTGAATAATCTTTGTAATTAAGGGTTGAATGTTCAACTTCCCCATGGAGCATGCTTTGCATAGCAGATGGCCATGATAAGATGCTAGGTGATGCCCCATATGATACTTTGAGGATACGGCACAACATATCTCGTCCAGGATGTCCTATTCGATCATGCCAGAGTAGGATAGTGTGCTAGAACCCAAGCATAGGGTCGGCCACATGGTGGGTCTCCACATATCGAATGGTTGTTATGTACAACCCACTCGAGAGACATTCCAACTTCTCGTGAATACGTTTCTAGCCATATTCGTAAAAAGTGATATAAAGAAATTCATAACCATTATCTTCAGTGGTTTCTTTATGATATTAATTATCTCGAATATCTCTAAAACTCAGTAACATTCTTCCAGAATGGGGAGAATATAAGGCCTCTTTAATGGTTAATTTAGTACCATTACACAACATTATTCGGGCCTTACCGTACCCTTCTATCAGCTTGGATGGGCCTGAAAAGGTTGTCAGAGGTGCATTTTTAGGTATGAAGTTAGTAAAATAGTGTCACTCACACAATATGGTTTGCATGGCAACACTATCAGCCATACAACTAACTTCCTCACTAGTCATACCTAGAAATAAATTAATTGAATCGATCAAATGCATAAATATAACTCCATTCATTCAATTAATTAATCGAGAAAATAATATCCATAATTCAAAACAAACCAAAACAAAACAAATAATTCCAAAGACTTAGAAAAATTGTCCAAAAATTCAACTATAAACCTAGAAATATAGGAGGGGTGTTCGGGCATACCTAGTGGGTTCAGGCACTAGGGGTGAAAAAACACCTTAATATGTCTAGAAAAATTAAACTTTACTCTTCCATACGAGCTAATGCCTCCTGAAAATCTGAAACCTCCATAGATGTAGTAGTATCTTCTAGATGTTCCACATGCAGAAAGTTAGACTCATGACGGGAATGATACTTAGTAATGGTCTCGAGGGTAGCTTGGCATACGCGTGACCAATGATCCTTTAATCCACAGCAGTAGCACATGTCCAATTCAATAGAAGTCGATTGAACGGTAGCTTTTCCTTTGTTCTTGAAGTTTGGAGCCTTAGGGGGCAATGGGTTGGCACTTCTAGGTCAAATTTCCTTCCTTGGGTAGGCCCATGTGGACCTTGGGCCTATGGGTGTGCCTGCCACCCATTGCCACAGCCACGACGAGGTTTATTTCGGTTATGGCTACTAGAATTAGTCGCATGAGCTTCAAGCGGAGCGTTCAAGCTAGTAGGTCGAGCTTGATAATTTATCATCAAAAGTTGGTTCTGCTTTTCAGCAATAAGTAAAAAAGAGATTAAATCTAAAAATTTGGTGAACTTATGTACCTTATATTGTTGCTGCAAGATAATATTGGTGGCATTGAAGGTCGAATAGGTATTCTCCAGGAGATCATATTCGGTTAAGTCCTCTTTACAGAACTTAAGCAGTGATCGGATTCTACAAACTTGAGAGTTGTATTCATTCACAAACTTAAAGTCTTGGAAGCGTAAATGCTGCCAGTCGTGTCTTGCTTCAGGTAAGTAGATGTCTTTCTGGTGATCGAAACGACCGGCCAGAGTCAGCTAGAGGGTACGTGGGTCTTCCTATGCGAGGTACTCGGTTTGCAGTGCATCATGGATGTGTTTTCATATGAAGATCATAGTAGTAACCTTCTTAGCTTTATCGACCAGGTCGTCGGTAGGTTCCTAAATAGTAGCTCAAAGACTCTTTGTGGTAAGATGAAGCTTCACATCTTGAACCCATTTTAGGTAGTTTCTTCCATATACTTCCAAAGCGGTGAAATCGAGCTTGTTCAAGTTCAACATGTTCCTAAAATAGAGGGTACAACAAAAACATGGTTAGTCATATGGAAAGCCATAAACATACATCATAGAACATTCGAGTTCTATAGACTTGTATTTGTTTAATTTAAGCATGAAAGCTATGGGTTTCATGTGGTAAATTTTGAATGAAAACTTCGAGTTTCAAATGCGTTAAATTTGAAACTATAGGTTCGATTTAGTTTTGAACTTCCAGTTCATATATAAGGGTACCTGCAAATACACAGAATACAATATACGGTAGTGAATTTGTGGATTGCTTCAGGAACCCAAGTGTGAGTGCACCGGGACTAAGAAAGATAGTTAACGGTTCAAAGAAGAGAAATAATTTATTGAATCGTTAATTGCCAAAAAGTGGGCTTTAGGCCAATAATTTTGGATGTCTTGTCAAATTAATGGAATGATGATCACTTTAATTAATTTAATAGATCATAACCATCCAAGTTTGATCCTAGAAGGAAAATAATAACATTCAGGTTAAAATTAGCTTGAATTTTGGCTTCAGGCCAAGCGACAATAAAATTATAGCTTGATAAGCGTTAATCAATAACGTCCTAAAAATTATAGGAGTATGGTTATGAAGCAAGAATGCCAAAAACATGGCATTGGAGTTCGAAAAAAAAACGAATCCCAACTTGGTGGGTTGGCTGCCATGTATGGGGCAAGGCCCTAAAGAGCTTATTAAGCCACACGGTAGGCTGCTAAGGCAACCCATGTGTGGTTGCAGGCCACGGGCCGGTTCTGGGAAGGAGCCGAGCAGCCAAGCTACTGGTTTTGGGCCACAAAGAGTGCGATGAGCACAAGCCCAGCACGGGGGCTAGCCTGGTATGGGTGCGCACGAAGCCCAACAAAAGCTAACTTCGTTTTGGGTCGATTCTAGGCAAACCCAGCCATATGGGGTAGCCTTGTGTTCATGGGCCGTGATAGAGGGCGAGCCTAGCAAGCAAGGGCTTACTGCAGATGGTTGAGTTCATACGGGCAAAGCCCAGCAAGCCTAAGCTTGCTGCAGGAGTGATGGGTCGAGGCAAGGCAGAGTCCAGCAAGGCTTTGAGGGCCTGCTGGTGGACTCAAGGCTTCAAGCCCGTACGGAGACCAACCCAGGCCGAGGCCTAGTGGTGTACAGGGCGTCGAAACGATGTCATCTTAGCTGTGATGTGGCTGCAGGTCAGCCAACTTGGCTCGGCAGCCTGGCCTAGAGCCGCGACTCAACCGCGAAAAATCCCAATTTTTTTTTTTTTGAAATCAAAGAGTTCAAAACACTATTTTCTTCTAAATTAATTTTGATGCTTTGACTCACAAATTCCACATATCATAATTGCGTATTGCATGAACAAATATATATATATATATATATATATATTGACAAAATATATGAACACATATGCAATATATATAATTGAAAGGAAAATATAAATATGGGGGTTTCATGCATCATGGTCAATGTTTTCTTGCTTTAAGGTCGTTTCAAATATCTTAATTTATTTTAAAAGAACTTGATTGGTAGAAAATAATTGAGCCTTTGATGTTGTAGAAGAAAGCTTCCTCCATGATCTTTCAATTCCTTAGTTTCTGGCAAGAGCGTGCTAATAACGTGTTGTAGGCCTAATTTACTTCACTATATTTAAGGCTAGAGAGAGGGGGCCGGCGGCACATAGAGAGAAGAGAAAGATATGTGTTGTGAAGTGTGTATTATATCACCCCATTATGCCTTTATTTATAGTAGTAGGGAAGGTTAAATCTTTACCCTAATAGGATTACAACTCTAACAGGATAATATCTAATTTGGGGAATATTCCAATATATCCCTAAATACACTAGGATTTACACAATCACATTCCTAATCTAATAGAACTACAACAAAAATGAAATATTTTTCATACAGGTTAAGCTAAAATGAATATTTATGACATGTTTACTTATTCATAACACAATCAAGATAAGCTGGATTCTATAACAGATTGATCATGTGTACGAACCAAGGAGAAAATCAAAGGATGAGTATCTCCTCCGGATCCTTTTCGTGGGGATCTGGAGGATCAATCAATTGTGTCGGTTCATCGTATATCATATGGCTAGTTTTCGTTAAGTATTGTTTGTGTTCAATTTTAAATTAAAAAAATTCAAAATAATTTTTTACCGCACGATGTACGATGAATAGACAAAGTTGATTGATTTTCCGAATCCCTACAAAGAGGATCCGGATAGGATCCTAATCCAAAATCAAAATGCATGTGGGCTCCACACAAAACAAGGAATCCAACTCTTGATCTTGAGGAATTGGATTGTTTGAGGGGTGGAGTATTTTGATTCTAAAAGAAACAAACTAGTAGGAATTCATAATGATTACCCATTGTGCCCTCACGTTATTTCTACAATTCAATGGGTAAAATTTTGATTTCCACTCTAATTTAGGTCAATAGTGAACATCTAATATTGAATCAGTATCATTTCTACTTATTTCAGATTGTTCAGTAAAGAACTTGGATGAGATTTCTAGTTCCAACTCTTCATAAGTTTAGTTCCTCTTTAATTTTGATTGCAGATTAGTAAACATGTCAAAATACATAAATGACTACTTCCAATATAAGGAACCAAATTTTTTCTTGGAAGTTCCAAATGGTATGAACTATTTATTTTGGAGTTAGACATGACTGAAGAGTGAGTTCATGAATTTGCTTTAGACGACATTCACATTTTACATTTACAAGTAAGTCCCACGTACACAAGATTCAATCATCAAAACTCAACTTTATTAGAGTGATACGCAACCAAGTAATTTGTGTAAAATCCAACTTTATTAGTGTTAGTATTTTTTTTTTTTTTTTTGAGTTGAAGAATGTGTTAGTAGGTTAGAAGTTAATTGTTAGGGGGAAAAGGGAGTCAGTGAAAATCGAACCCGCATCAATATACATAAATCTGAATATATTTTTCACCCCTATGATAAAGCGCAATTTTTGCATTTGAGTGTTATTGAAACCGGAAAGAAATGTAGTAATTTGGTAAGTAAGATGGTGATAAAATGGTCTTGGGATTTTGGATTAAAAGTCATAACGTACCATGCGCCAAACCTATCTTCTCCCTCTAATCCTTTTGTCATTAATGATTATAAAAGAGTCACATCGACACACTTGTCCCGCTTTTAGGACCGAAACGGACACAGTTCGCAGCACACAGCTCAGACTCAAGAGCAATAGAGAGAGAGGCTCTGAGTTTCTGAGATACCCCTCCCCCTCAAAGGCTCAAGCTTTTTCCTTACTCTCCACTACCAACAGCCATGGCTGGCGGCGGAGGAGGACCCCAAAAGGCAGATGAGTTCCAACCTCACCCCATCAAGGACCAGCTTCCCGGCGTCGACTTCTGTGTCACCTCCCCTCCCCCATGGCGTACCCACTCTCTCTCTGTCTCTCTAACACAGACACACGCAGAGCACTATCCTGTTTCCATCATATTATATTTACCATGGATGATGGATCATAGGAGAAAGTTTTTTTTTTTTTTTGTTTCTGTGATGGTATTTTTACATTTTCTGAGTTTTTGGGCAATGTCAGTTTTGTTTGGTTGCCAAGAAACAAGGGGTTGTAAGAAACGAAAATGGTTTTCAGAGACTAGTTTGAGCGTGTGAGAAAGTTGCTTCCTTTATACTAACATGGTATTTTTTTTTTTTTATCTCGCTAATCGCATGAACTATCTCAAGTCTCTGAAAATCTTCTGCTTTTACCACTCCTTTTCTCGTTTTTCTGCTTTTTCCCAGAAAATAAACAGAGCATTAAAGTTTTTTCTTTTTTTTTGCAACATTATAATCCTTTTATTAGGCTCCCCATTATTTTATCTTCTGTTTTTTTTTTCTGTTGGTTATGTTGATTTTACATCTTCTGAGTTTTTGGGTAATTTTAGTTTTGTTTGGTTGCCAAGAAAAAATGGGTTGTGAGAAAAGGAAATGGTTTTCCAGAGGCTATTTCCTGTATGTGAGAAAGTTACTTCCTTTGTACTAACATGGTATTTTTTCTCTGGATAATCCCATGAGTTTTCTGAAACTCTTTTCGTGTTTCAGTGTTTTCTCTCGAGTCTCTAAAAATTTTCTCAGTTTCCCCCTCTCTTTTTCTCGTTTTCCTGCATTTTCCGGGACACCAATCACGGCATTAAAGTATTTTTTTATTTGGCTATGATCCCCCGTATTTTATTTTCCGTTTTCATTTTCCCTCATATTTTTTCTTCGTTTCCTGCTACAAACTTGTTTGATTAAATGCAGCTGAAGCCATACTTTTGGGATTCCAGCACTTCATTGTAATGCTTGGGACCACCGTGTTCATCCCCACATTACTTGTCCCTCTCATGGGTGGTGGCGATGTAAGACCTCCTTAAACCCCTCAAAAAAATGTTCTTACCTCTTTGTTTTCTGGTCATTTATTTTCAAACAGTGTTTCTATTTATAACAGCAATTTCTATGTTTTTGTGTAGGTGGAGAAGGCCGAAGTGATTGAGACTTTCCTCTTTGTTGCTGGGATCAACACACTATTGCAGACTTGGCTAGGGACTCGGCTTCCGGTGGTGATGGGGGCATCATATGCCTTCATCATCCCTGCTGTCTCCATTGCCTTGTCCAGGAGGTTCGATGTCTACATAGACCCCCACCGGGTTAGTGTGACACAATCTTTCCATTTTCCTCTATTCATAGTTTTTAGCTTTCTGTTTGACTCCTGTTTGGATGTTGATGATGGGTTTACATAAAAATGGTTATCATTTACTATTTCTTTCGGAGATAGAGGGAGTGTAATGCATTATGGTTTCCGGTGTTTTGATTTTTTTCTTACTTATGCTCATTGTAATCTGTGAATGTTCTTTAGAGGTTTAAGGAAACCATGAGAGCAATGCAAGGAGCAATTGCGGTTGCATCTTTCATCCAGTTGATCTTTGGCTTTCTTGGGTTTGTGAGAATTTTTGGAAGGTAAGTTGATTATTGATGTGATTTTGTAGTTGTTACTTTGTCCAAAAAAGAACTTGGTTATTGATGTGGCTTGATGCAGGTATCTTTGCCCTCTCTCTGCGGTTCCTCTTGTAACGTTTACTGGACTTGGGTTCTTTGCATTTGGTTTCCCTCAGGTAACCATTCTGAACCAATCATTGTGTTACTGCTCAGTTCAAATCATTGGTTTATAAGAAAGAAATTGAAAAGCTCCTGGAACCTTTAGTGGTCAATTCATGAAGTTAATCCCAAATGTCATTTCTACGAAAAATAATAGTATTTGATCACTGGAGCTTTTAGGCACTACTTAAAACCTGGATTTGGTATTAGTTAAGTAACTCAGAGCTCATTTAAGCTTCTCTGTCAACTACATGTCGGTATTACTTTGTTTTGATGTTTTTTTCTTTCTGTTTGATGCTTGCAGCTGGCAAACTGTGTTGAAATTGGATTACCAGCACTGATCCTTGTGGTTTTCATATCACAGGTGGGCAACGTCCTGAATGATCATTTTCATGCAGACATCTTCAATTTAATTTACAATATCTCAAGTTATATTATGTACAGAATGTAAAATATGCATATCTTACTACTTATCTCTTCTGATATTTAACCATTGTTACTGCAGTACACGATGAAGTTAAAACTGCCTATATTTGGTCGATTTGCAATACTGTTTTCAGTTGCAATTGTATGGATATATGCAGAAGTTTTGACTGCAGCTGGTGCGTATAAGAAAAGACCTTATACAACTCAAACTAGTTGCCGTACTGATCGTTCTGGGCTGATTAGCGCTGCTCCTTGGTAAGCTTCAACTTCTAGCATTTGCATTTCATGCAAGAAGCACTTGTACTGACATTTTCAATCGATCATTCATGTTTCCTATTTTATTTTTTATGTTAGTGCCCAACAATCATGGCCAATGGTAATGGATTTGTTTCCCCATGTGATTGTTATGTAAGAGAGTTGTCGATAACGGTTTACTTCAGCGGCGAATACTTGTTTGCAATGATAATTGAGATGTGTAATTATATGACCCCAAAATAGAGGATACAGTTAAATTGTGAAGTTGTTGGAGGTGGGTTACTTGAAACAATCAAACATGTTCTAGTTATGCACTCTGCAATGATGATGTGTGTTCGTGCTTTTTGATATTTCTGAAGAACAGTTCCTGTTTTGTGTAACCATGGGATCTTATTTTTCTTTTTCCGTTAGAGAAAGCTGTTCTAGTGATACAGCGTTTCTGCAATTATGTTGTGGGTGTTTTCCATGTTCTGAAGAAAACTTCCTGTTTTGAGTAACCCTGAGATCAAACTTAAGCCTAATTATCATAGTGCACTTGCTGAGGCTCGATAAACAATTACATCCACTCTTATCTCTTGGTTTCATGCTCCCAAAGTTTAGTCCTGCATGCAACGCTGGTATCATTGTAACGTAATTCCTGATTTTAATAATAACTGTATGACATTCAATAACGTTTTCTCTTTCACCATATGCAGGATAAGGATTCCCTATCCATTTCAATGGGGTAGTCCCGTTTTTAATGCTGGAGATACTTTTGCAATGATGGCTGCGGCTTTGGTTGCCATTATTGAGGTAAGACATATGAAGTTCGAGGTTGAAATTACGAAGGAAGATGTTTATTTTGCATATATACATAAAGTAGACCAGACATCTGTATTAAGATTTCTGGAGGAAACTTGTATTAATATGCCTTCATACATGGCTTTCTCGACATTGTAAGCGAAGAATAAATATGCCGTTCTCATCTTAAGATGATGCTATCTTTCGACTTGAAATATGTTTCTCAGTGAAGTGTATAAAATGCATAAACATTGCTTTCATTTGCGCTGACATATCTTTTCTCCCCATTCATTTGGGGCAGTCTACAGGTACATTTATTGCAGCATCAAGATACGGGAGTGCCACCCCCATACCGCCTTCTGTTCTCAGCAGAGGTGTCGGCTGGCTGGTAGGAATTGGTCCAATAGAATTCTATGTTAATCACATTTTTAGAATTGTTGGTAATGAATACCTCATCTTGTAAAATTTTCAGGGCGTAAGCACTCTTCTGGATGGCATATTTGGCTCGGTATCTGGCTCCTCTGCTTCAGTGTAAATATTAAATTTATGTACTTATGATATATTTTGTTGCAGAATTCTGGAGTAAGGACCTATGCTTTTCCGACTCCATTTTGCAGTTTGTCTGCATATAATTCTGAAGAACAATAATATGAATCCCAGTTCTTAATCCATATTACAAGTGCCCCACGGTTGCATAGTTTTAGGCATTGACGGTGCCTTAGCTGTAGGCTTGTAGAACTCTGCCCTTTCAGAAAATTCATCTAAAGAAGTAACTGTAATTGTTAACTGAAAGAAAAAGAGAGCAACTGTGATGTAATGATCCTACCCTATTTTTCTAGTGAAAATGCTGGCCTTCTGGGAATGACGCGTATTGGAAGTCGGAGAGTAATCCAGATATCAGCAGCCTTTATGCTCTTCTTCTCTGTATTAGGTACAGTACGCCGTTTTACATTCCAAATTTCGAATGTTAATCTAAATGACTTATATGCTCATTAACAATATAAACTATGGTGCCAGCCGGAGCTTTATATGTTCATAACTTTGTTTTCATAATCTAGTCTGAGGGTGTCATCAATTATGTCATACGCAGGAAAATTCGGGGCTTTTCTTGCTTCTATCCCAATACCAATTTTCGCAGCTTTGTATTGCGTCCTCTTCGCCTATGTTGGTATGCATTTCAATCCTAAATCGTAATTATGACTACGCATTGTTGATGTTTCGGTTTGAGTTTGTGGACTGATCACTTAGTAGTTAATATATCTCAGTTTAATGTCTGTGCTCCTTCACAGTTCACAATTTCATTTCATTTTTTGAAATGTCGATGGTGATATATATTGTGCTGTGCAGCTTCTGCTGGTCTTGGTTTGCTCCAGTTCTGCAACCTAAACAGCTTTCGGACAAAGTTCATCGTAGGCTTTTCTCTCTTCATGGGTCTTTCGGTGACGGAATACTTCCATGAATACTTCCTAATTTCCGATCGCAGTCCTGTTCACACTCGTTCCATTTGGGTGAGTAAGTTTTAATTGCAACTTCTCTCCACAGATTGAATGTTGCCTTACAGAGAACTTTGTGATAACATATGAATGTTGCTTATTTCAAACTGCAGTTCAACAATATAGTTCAAGTAATTTTCTCGTCCCCAGCAACCGTCGGCATCATTGTTGCTTTCTTCTTGGACTTAACTGTCAGTCGTGGACACAGTGCAACTCGGAGAGACAGTGGCAGGCACTGGTGGGAAAAGTTCCAGAATTTCAACACAGATTCCAGGAGTGAAGAGTTCTACTCACTGCCCTACAACCTCAACAGGCATTTCCCTTCAGTTTGATTGACGAAAAGCCCTAGCAGCGGAAACTAAAAAGGAAGATCATCTTTTGTTTTGTCGTCGAGTTGTGACGAAGGAAGAAATTGATACGTACAGGAGCGTTTTGGAATGGGGATACCATTCAGTAGTTGAACACACACTAAGCTTGTGAATATGCTCTTACAGCTGAAAGCTTAGCATCTAAAACATCTAATTACTGATATTTTAAGAATTTGATAATTTTATGAAGAGAGCTACTTAATTTATATTTTGGAACCGTTAGCTCTTTTCTGTGTTGCATTTATTCTGCATCACCACGTGTTTTAACTTTTCACAAGGTATTGCATGATTGGATTTGGAAACCGTCACCTTAGCATCCTCATTTCATGTATAATCCAGGTAACCAATTGAGAACAAGCATCCAATCCCTAAAGTAGTTGTTGACTTTGATATCTTAAAGGAAAAACCAACAAAAATTACATACAATTCTCATTCTAAAAATAAGATGCAATTCTCGTTTCAAAGTTGAAAGAGGTTACAAGTTTGAATTCACCTCTCCATTTTGATAAAGTACTAAAAAATATCACCTTCCTGATGCTAGGGGTGAAGCATGAGTCTTTTGGTGCCAATTCCATGTTTCTTGTGGTCGGATTGAGATCCTCTTTGAATTTCACACTCCGAAGCTTGCAAACCGAGCAATTAGAACCGTTCAATTTAAATTGTTTGATCCCATAGGCCCACCTCACACATAATTTCTTTCTCCAACGCCTAGATCTTTCTCTCTCTCTCTCTTGAAAGCTCTAGATTGCTTGATCTGTAGATTCCAGAGTGTGAGATCCAAAGAGAATCTCAATCCCTTGTGTTGCCTTTCTTCTATCACTTCACTCCAAATTTGCAACCCTTGTGCTTCACTTTTCATACCTTTTAAAGTGCACATTTTGCTTACATTTTATCCTAGAGTGATTTATGCACTTACACTTTATCCTAGAGTGATTTATGCACTCTTCTTTTCCTCTGTAGCTACTATTTGGTTCTTTTATCAATAGATTGAATAACCAATAAACGGAAATAGTTAAGATCAGAGATTGCTGGAGATAAAAAGAGGAATGCGAAAACATTCTTTTTCTCTTCACTTGTAAGTGAGAGGTTTTAAGTTCGATTCTCACCAAAGGAGAATTTGAATCACATTATTGCTAGTCCGGCGTAGCCATTTCCCCACTCCTTGAGTGTCGATCGTTTGTTAAAAAAAAACAAGTATGATGAGCAAAGAGAGAGCAAATCATGCACAATCTTTACATAAACTTGCCACTTGCATTTTTCAGTTGAATGAAGTTTCATTAGATAAAAAGGAAATCAATACAAAAGAGAAATTACAGCCTTGTTACACTTTTTAATTTTTCAAAAAAGATTATATACTTGGTCAAGATTGGTTACAAGCAAGGTCTAAAATATCGATGATATCGGAAATATCGGTAGTTCAAAAACACGGAAATTTCGATAGAAATATCATTATCGATATCGATAAAAATTGAATAAAAACCACGGAAATTGTAAGAAAAACTTGGAAATTTTTATTGAAACTTTGCAGGATATTTATTTAGTCAATTATCTATTAGTTTATCACAAAAATTGGAAGGAAATGCATTGCATGATGGATTTAACTGATTTAAGTTGATTATATAGCGAGCTGGCAAACATTGTGAGTGTAGAAAATATGTAGTAATTAATGAAAGAAGTTTAAACACACCATAATCATTTATATATAATGAATTAGTACAATATTTTACACTTTATACATTGCATGGTAAGATACATGAGTGACTTAGTACCACATAGAGTTCCTATGAGGTTCAAAATTTTCACTACTAGCTAGCCCCAATAGTTTCTAGATTATGTTCCAGAAAAATAGTTTCTATAACCTAAAGCGTTTTTAAGTAAAACGTAATTAGAAAAGTACTTAAAAACGCTTTTGATTGTTAACCATTCCATTAGCAAATTCCAAACAAGAGAATTATTTATATGGAATGAGTTAACTGCCAAATGAAATTTCGATCTAATATTGCATTACGACGTGTAAGTATTTTTTACATAACAATGTATTATTTGATCGAAATGTCACGACAAAGTTTTTTTATGTAAGTTTTCTCCCAAACAGACTCAATTTAACAAACAAAGCCCAAAATTTTGACAATACAGTGGCCCAATTTCATCTCCAATTTCTATACATTAGCCCAATAACCTCATAAACCCACCAACAGAGATCTCCTATCCAAAACCCTAACTTCCCTTCCCTTACCCTCTTTTTGCCTCTCTCACGAACGCTCACACTCACCCGATGTTCGTCTCCTCCCAACTTCGCCGCATAATTCCACCACCACCATGGGTTGCGTCCGCACAATTCCACCACCACCATGGGTCGCATCCGGACAAAGATAGTGAAGAAATCCTCCCGCCAGGTGATCGAGCACTACTACTCGCGCATGACCCTGGACTTCCACACCAAGAAGAAGATCCTCGAGGAAGTCGCCATCATCCTTTCCAAGCACCTCCGCAACAAGATTGCTGGATTCTCCACCCACCTCATGAAGCAGATCCAGAAGGGCTCGGTTCGTGGCATTTCCCTGAAGCTGCAGGAGGAAGAGCGTGAGCGCCGCATGGACTTTGTCCCCGAGGAGTTCGCCATCAAGATCGACAAGATCTTCGTCGACAAGGAAACCCTCGACATGCTCTCCGCTCTCGGTATGGCTGACATGCCTGGTGTCAAGCGAATCGAACCGGAAGCTCATTCTCAGAATCTCAGGTATGGGCGTGGTGCACCCATGAGGTACTAAAACGGATTTAGAGAATGATCGGGTTTTGATGCTATAATACATTTGGTTTTTGAATTAGGAAGAAGTTTGTTATGTGTTTAATTTTACTGTTGAAATCATGCGTGTGACATTTTTGTTATGGGATTATGTCAAATTTGCATAATATCGCGATATTTGACGATAATTAAGTGGATAAGTGTAAAAATATCGCCATCTAAAAAAAACGATATTATTAACGAAATATCGCCGATAATATGGATATTTATTCCTTGGTTACAAGGCAAATGAAAAAAGCAAAGAAATTTTGGTATTGGACAAGCATTTTGATACCACAGAGATACTGTGTCTACTGACTTTTGTTGCATTGTTCAATCAATTATGTGTCAAGAGACTCATGACACGTATGGCCAAGTTTGTAAGGCAAAGAATTGGACCATCATTTTTATGTTACATTAAGCTCATGTGGACTTGGGTGACAAATAACAGAAGCTGTCATTTCAAATGTCATAAGAGAACGTTGGAATGCACATTGTTTTGAGGAGGAAAACTTGTATCAACCATTTACATGCAGGTGAGTGACGGTCAGTTATTGATGTTTTACAAGACGCATAAGTATAGTTATGGCCTATTAATTTACATAATTTTAACATTATATTAATGACTCGTCGTGATACTCTATACAGTCAATGGGTTAGTGACTGTCAATAATCAACGGATAGTAAAGCACATAAATAGAAGTCATCTATTAATGCATGTAAATTTCACATTACATTAACCACTCACATCAACCACTTGTTCGTGAACCACGAATGATAGTGTATTTATTGTCTCATTTTTGCCCCTTTTCGTTCTTTTCTTGACAAGTTCGGTTTTACTACCCACATTCTTCCATTACACGTTTCTCATTTCACCACCCATAGTGTGGCCCTCATGCTTCCTTTCTTCCTTAAAAAGATAATGGTACAGAGATCTTATTCTAAACCAGTGAAGAAAATATCGATAATATCGGCGAAATATCGCCGATATTATCGTTTTTTTGGGACCCCGATATTTTATTAACTATCCAACTTGTTTTCGGCAGAATATCGCGATATTATTGATAATATCGATAATATCGCGATATTTTCGAAACTATCGCGATATTTGGTATGGACTCATCGGAGAACACAGCCGGAGCAAATAATCCGAACCCCTAAATCCCCAAATTCTAATTCAAAGCAAATGAACTGAATCTACAATACAGGAATCCCTAAAATCGATTTCAGTACAAAAATCAACATGCAGAAAAATCGCAATTTGTACAAAAATTGTAATTTACAAGCCGAGAAGAACGCCGGAGCAAATTAACCGAATCCCTAAATCCCCAAATTCGAATTCAAAGCAAATGAACTGAATCCCTAATTCCTAAATCCCTAAAATCGATTTCAGTACAAAAATCAAGCAAAATGCAGAAAAATCGCAATCTGTACAAAAATAGAAACCCTAATTCCTAAATCCCTAAAATCGATTTCAGTACAACAAAGGTGCAACATGCAGAAAAATTGAAATCTGTACAAAAATTTAAAGTAAAAGCCGAGAAGAAGAGAAGTAGGAGCCTGGGAACATCGTTTTCCTCACGAATCCAAGACGGCTGGGACAACGTCGTGCTCCTCAGTGGTGTCGACGGCTGGGACTACGATGATTTCCGGTCGATCTCCATGGATCAAGGTGGTTTAGAAGGCGGTTATCGAGTGGTGTCGACGGCTGGGTTTAGGGCGGGTGAGATGGGAGGAGCAGAGGGAGACACGGAGACACGGACGAGGAGGATCGAGAGATGGATCGAGATTCGAGAGATGATGTCTCTGTGTGTGTGTGGAAGAACTGGAGAAGGGGGAAGGGAGGGAGAAGACTGAGAAGTTCTCAGTGAGAACGAAGGCTCAGACCTCAGAGAGAGAGAAGAGAGAAGAGAGAGATTGAGAGGATTCGAGAATATGGTAGTGGGAAATGAATGATCGAGAGAGAGACTGAGCTCCGTGTGTGGTGTACGTGTGTGGTGTGCGTGTGTGGTGTGGTGTGGGGGGTCTCGAAGTGTGTGTGTGGTGGAGTGTGAGTTCTTCACTCTTTTTTACTGTCTGAGTGGTGGCGTGTAAGAAAAAAAAAAGCATCCAATGCTCCAAATTATTCAAAACCAAATCATTCCAAACCTATGTCTAGCTCTCTGATCCAATGATCCAAATAACTTTTTGCAATTTCAGAACATGGACAACAAATAATACTGCTTTCATAATGAAATCGTGTGACAGTCAGTAAGAGTCTTTCACATGCAAAACAGTGTCAATGTCTGTTATATACTTACATTCTTTCACCCAATGGAGTATCAGAAGCATTCACAGAAATTTCGTTTCTTCTTCTTCCCATACCATTTTCAAAACCATTCCAGATTCTTTCCAAAGCTTGAACACAAAGGCTTCCATATTTAAGGTAAGTTTACAAACTTAAATTTATATTATTGTAATTTATACAACAACAAATAAATTTGTGTGGACTCGTATGTTAATCTTTTTAAGTAATTAATACTTGCATGTTAATTTTTGTAAGTAATTAAGTAATGTTAATGTTAATTGTTTTAAGTAATTAAGTAATGTTGTATAATTATTCCCTAGGATAATTTTAATATGTTTAATATTATTTATTATTTTATTTCCCTTACCATTTTCATTATCAAATTGGATTATTATTCATTAATATTAGGTTTTTTTTATTATCAAATTGGATTATTATTCTTTAATATTAGATTTTTTTTATTATCAAATTGGATTATTATTCATTAATATTAGGTTTTTTTTATTATCAAATTGGATTATTATTCTTTTATATTAGGAATTTTTTTTATCAAATTGGTGGATTATTCATTAAATTGGATTATTATTAATCACCATGTTTTATATTAGGATTATTTTTTTATCAAATTGGTGGATTATTCATTAAATTGGATTATTATCAAATTGGATTATTATTATCAAATTGGATTATTATTCATCACCATGTTTTATATTAGGATTATTTTTTTTATCAAATTGGTGGATTATTCATTAAATTGGATTATTATCAAATTGGATTATTATTCATCACCATGTTTTATATTAGGATTTTTTTTTTATCAAATTGGTGGATTATTCATTAAATTGGATTATTATTCATCACCATGTTTTATATTAGGATTATTTTTTTTATCAAATTGGTGGATTATTCATTAAATTGGATTATTATCAAATTGGATTATTATTATCAAATTGGATTATTATTCATCACCATGTTTTATATTAGGATTTTTTTTTTTATCAAATTGGTGGATTATTCATTAAATTGGATTATTATCAAATTGGATTATTATTATCAAATTGGATTATTATTCATCACCATGTTTTATATTAGGATTAATTTTTTTATCAAATTGGTGGATTATTCATTAAATTGGATTATTATCAAATTGGATTATTATTCATCACCATGTTTTATATTAGGATTATTTTTTTTATCAAATTGGTGGATTATTCATTAAATTGGATTATTATCAAATTAGATTATTATTCATTAAATTGGATTATTATTCATCACCATGTTTTATATTAGGATTATTTTTTTTATCAAATTGGTGGATTATTCATTAAATTGGATTATTATCAAATTGGATTATTATCAAATTGGATTATTATTCATCACCATTTTTTATATTAGGATTTTGTTTTTATCAAATTGGTGGATTATTCATTAAATTGGATTATTATCAAATTGGATTATTATTCATTAAATTGGATTATTATCAAATTGGATTATTATTCATCACCATGTTTTATATTAGGATTTTTTTTTTTATCAAATTGGATTATTATTCATTAAATTGAATTATTATCAAATTGGATTATTATTCATTAATATTAGGTTTTATTATTCCATATTATTTGTATAATTACTTAAATTTTTACAATCATTTTCTTTACTTTGTATTTAATTCTTCTGTAGAATAACTTTATTATTTAGGTTCTCTTATTTTTATCAAAAAATAATTGTCTAATTTTCATGAAAAAATAAATATAGGTACGTTTAAGATGTCCAGTAAACGTGATCCAGCTTGGGAACATGGAGACCCAATAGACGGAAACAAACATGGCACAATTTGCAAATATTGTGGTCGGGTAATGAAGAGTGGCGGAGTGACACGACTGAAGTATCATCTTAGTGGATTAGATCCATCAAAAAATGTCCAACGATGCGATAATGTCCCCCCAGAAGTGAAGGCATTCATCAGCACATTATTAAAAAATAAAAAACAGCAGAAGGAAAAGATAACACAGGGAATGGAAAATATTCGAGCTGGGCTACGGGGAGAAGTCTATGGCCAAGTGGTTGACAGTGATGATGATGACGATGAGGACGAATGTGATGATGACATGGGACCTGAAGAACGACGCAGTTTGAAACAAGCATTACGTGCCTCCAAACAATCAGCATGGGAAAGAGAACACCTTCATAAAATTCCTAATAGGGGACAAGGTTCCGGGACAAGTGGTGGTGCACAAATGAGACGGGGAGGCAGTCTTAGAGAATCACAACCAACACCACCAATAGCCCCAAGTTTATATAAGTCATCCAACGCACGTCAAAAGAGTGTTTGGAGTTATTTCAAGGGAGGTAATGTGAAGGAGGGAATGGGGCGTCCAATTAGCAAGTTCTTTATCTATGAAAATGTCCCTGCTGCGAAGGCATCATCATATCATTTCAAAAATATGGTAGTGGTATGTCAACAGGCCGGTGTTGGAGTACAACCTCCCACTCCCTATGAGATAAGAAACAAATATTTGGATATGGAGTATAAAGACATTGGCGAGTATGTTAACAAGTTGAGGTCAAAGTGGGAAACTAATGGTTGCACAATCATGTGTGACGGATGGACCGGCCCGACCAGATTATCTATCATCAACTTCATGGTATACTCCAAGGGAAAGACAATTTTTTTGAAGTCTGTTGATGCTTCAGACCATATAAAGAATTACAAGTATATTTACAAATTATTGAGGGATGTAATCATGGAGGTGGGAGAGCATAATGTTGTCCAAGTCGTGACCGACAACGGTTCTGCATTTGTCAA